CGGCCTTCGTTGGTATATTTCAGAGTTCTGATTGGTTGTCTTCCACATCCCACTGCCTTTTGCATTGGTCTATTAAAGCAGACCTTTGCTCTAATACAGGGGGAGGTAACCATGGCACTCCAGCTGTGGTGAAACTACAAACCCCATCATGTCTATGCCTCTCAGAGTCATGCCTACGGCTGCTGGAGTTCTACAATGCCTAATGGGACTTGTAGTTCAACAACAGCTGGAGTGCCGAGGTTGCCCACCCCTGCCATATAGTTACCAGAATTCAAAATTATTCACAATAGGGGGATCTAGAGGTGTCTACAGATGCTACAACCTGATCTAACATATCATTGCCCCCCTATCCTGACTTTTCTGCCCCAGTACCTTTATACATTCAACGGGAGGCAATTAGACGCAACCTTGCCAGCTTTCCCTTCATACCCGCCCTCAAAGCTTTCCAAGATCACATGACTGGCACCTGGACAGCTTTCCCTTCATACCCGCCCTCAAAGCTTTCCAAGATCACATGACTGGCACCTGGACAGCTTTCCCTTCATACCCGCCCTCAAAGCTTGCCAAGATCACATGACTGGCAACTAGACAACTGTCCCTTCATACCCGCCCTCTAAGCTTGCCAAGATCACATGACCATGGGGAAAGTGACAGAGCCTCATAGAAGGACCACTATAACAAAAATGTTGTATTCTGGTAACTGTATGGGGTTATTACATTGGGGTAATACACATTTTACACTTTATAATTTTCTTCACCTTTACATGCAGGCCAAGCTGTCCAGCGACAGTGACCCTGTCTAGTCTCCAATCATCTCTTGTAGCATGTGTACACTCTGACCATTTCCTGCTGCAGCACTTCTACACTCTGACCATTTCCTCCTGCAGCACATCTACACTCTCTGACCACTTCCTCCTGCAGCACGTCTACACTCTCTGACCATTTCCTCCTGCAGCACGTCTACACTCTCTGACCATTTCCTCTAGCAGCGTGTCTACACTCTCTGACCATTTCCTCCTGCAGCACGTCTACCCTCTCTGACCATTTCCTCTAGCAGCGTGTCTACACTCTCTGACCATTTCCTCCTGCAGCACGTCTACCCTCTCTGACCATTCCCTCTAGCAGCACGTCTACCCTCTCTGACCATTCCCTCTAGCAGCATGTCTACACTCTCTGACCACCATCTCCTGTTACATGTGTCAGCAGTCTCTGAAAGATTGATGTAATATTATATTCGCTAAATATCATATGTGGCCCTTTGGTGATGTCAGGGAGCTGCACTTAAAAGCCCCCACCCCCCCAATAGCAGAAGAGTTTCCACCACTGACATAGTACATCCATGTGGTCATAAAGACAATCATTGGAACCTTTCCTGATTTTTTGTCGGCTAGTGGTCAGTTACCAGATGGCATTAGACAGGAAGGAGTGCAACAAATCGCAATATTCAGTATTTGGATAGAAAGTAATTTTAAACCCCCAAACAATTCTATATTTTCGGAGAGCAGAGGCCCTGCATGCGGTTGTAGGATACAGTTATCCACACCCTGAAGCTGGGAGACGGGCTCGTTCTTGCATAAGCCCAATTGTGACTGGATCTCATCGGCCAATGATGATTATAAGATTGGCTGTTAAAGGGCCGGTGTAAAAAAAAAAAAAACTATTTACAAGACAAGAAATTCACTAATGTGTACACATCGCGTCAGTGCAGGTTCATATACATTGCACAGAAACATTCCAAGTTTCCCTCAAAGGAGATGTAGAAACCCGAAGATTTCCAGCTATTTAGTTAATAAACTGAATAGTCTTGTTCATAACATGAAGACAGGTCCCCTTTGGAGTGTAGCTGTACCTTTATGGGGTTTCTTTAAAACAGTGGCGGGGGGAACCTCCGGCCCTCCCCAGCTGTGGTGAAACTACAAATCCCATAATGCATCTGCCTCTGGGAGTCATGCCCGTGGCTGTGAGAATCTTGTAATGCCTCATGGGATTTGTAGTTTCACCACAGCTGAAGGGCCAGGAGGATCCCCACCCCTGCTTCAAAACATAAAATCCACACTTCTGTAGTGGCATCAGCATGACCTGCATATACTGCCCCCAGGCAGCTGCTTATAACGCCCCCAGGCACCTGCTTATACCGCCCCCAGCCAGCTGCGTATACCGCCCCAGGCCAGCTGCGTATACCGCCCCCAGGCACCTGCTCATAACGCCCCCAGGCACCTGCTCATAACGCCCCCAGGCACCTGCTTATACCACCTCCAGGTACCCGCTTATACCGCCTCCAGGTACTGCTGCTCCTCTGCCCGGAAGCGGTTAAAAAGTGGGTGGAGCTTGCCTCTGGGTGTCTCACAATGAATACAGGACAGTCTACAGCAGACTCCGCCCACTTGGCAGCAGAACTGAACAGCGGCGGCACACTGCAAGAGTATTAGCTGAAAATACAGTAGCGAGGATTGTGAGTGGACAGAGGCATATGGTCAGGAAAGCGGTACATCGCGCTTCCCCCGCAAGCAACTCACAGGAATGGCGTGGTCTTTCTTCCCCTTGTGTGATGAGGCGACATGAGCCAGATACTGGATAACCTTCTTGGTATTCTCTGTTTTTCCTGCACCAGATTCACCTCTAAGAGAGAGAGAAAAAAAGAAAAAAAAAACAAAACTAGGTTCATAGGGTCCTCCGTAAATGTACTAAAAACAGTATGCTGAAGTCCTGTCCTACTCAAGCCACGCCTCCTCCTAACCTTCCTATCTGCTGAAGTCCTGTCCTATTCATGGCGCACCTCCTTCTAGTCTGCATGTTACATGGGCAGCTCTAGGAGGCTGGGTTGAGGGGATTAGGTTGCACCTAGCACTGCCATTTAAAAAAAAAAACTAATGTGGACCCCCAGGTGAAGCTGCTGGCCAGTGGACGGCCCATCACAGTGAAGGAGCAATAGAGACCAAAAACCCAGCTTTCATTCTGAAGTGGAGAGCTCAGCCTTGGTTTGTGGGGCTGCTCAAGGTAACGGAGAGTTAAGGGTGGACACCACAGGTGTGGTACATGTACCTTGTCCTAATTTTCTACCCTAAACGTCATTACAGGTACACTTTAATGTATAGCTAAAGCCAACAGTTTTTTGACAAGGGAAGGGAAGAATTAGAACCGGTCAGGGGTCACTGGGACAAAAATTTGAAATAGAGGGGAAATCGTCCAATGGGGATGCCTGTTTCACTATGAAACGGTTTTCCCTCACTTCCTGTGGTGTCTCCAAGTCAAGGGAAATCTCCCTATCGGGACACAGGACAAGAAGAAGAAAGAAAAAAAAAAAAGAAAGCAGGGGCTCAAAAACAAGTTTGGATCTAGATTTAGATTGGGGTGGGAATGGGCCCGTCTCTTCCTACGCTGGAGTGATGGTATGAACCTCAGCGTCCTCATGTCCTATACACTGTGTATAGAATGTGATGACCCAGGGACCTTAGACCGTTGCAGCGGAGGGGGAGAGAGGCTCTTGGGACTGGACTAAGAGCAAGCCGGGTTCAAAGATTGGGTGAGTATGCCCCTAGGCAAAAACAAGCACTTAGCCCTTGCAGTTAATAGCATTTTTAACCGGAGTTCTGCTTTAATGGAGAGGCGTGCTTCTTTTTGCAGTTAATTCCATAAAACGTTACTTGTCTATCTTCCCTGGCTTGTGTATCCTGGGCCGGCGAACCATCCTTTTATGGCCTGGCCCATCTGCCGGGGCGGCTCTCCGTGTCTTTAAGGTATTAGGGAGCCTAAAGCACCGAGCGCAAATGGTCTACCCATCAATCATGGCGAGAGAATGAGGCACGGGAATAGCGCTCCGGCCTGCCAAAGCAGGACTTGTGTGTCTGTAAATGAGGAAATTTATGGTCACTCCGCGTCCACAATGAAAGGATCGGCAGAGACATTTCTTCTGGAATGCGTTATATTTAGGAAAAAAAAAATTTTAAAAGCTTTTCAGGATGAAGAGCCAACCCGAGGACGGGATTTATAGATCTATGAGCTGTCCCTTCGCAACTGCAGAAAAAAAAAAAAAAATTGAAGTCCAACTCTCCAGCTTCACCAACATTTCCTGACCAGGGAGCCGCAGATGCTGCGTACAGCCGCCCATAGAAATCAATGGTTGGATGCGGCTGTACGCGGCCTTCTTCAGACACTGTGACCCAAAAAGTCTCCTTCAACTATATACAAAGAACCATTCAC